TTCTTTGCACAGGCACACACAAGTTTCTAAAGCACGTTAACAGAAAACATTATTCTCGAACAAAATATTATGATGTCGTTTTAAGGATTTTACCGTTAAGCAACGATTCATCGCTTTTAAGCCAATAGACTATCATATTTCTTTCAAACATGCTATTTGTATGTATTTATTTTCAAAATCATAATATTTTTGCAGCACATATATCGCTTTATTCACTTTATATTTATATTGTTCAGAGCCCCATATGACTATTTATCGTGTTAATATTCATCTGGATTTCCAGACAGAAAACGAGACACTTTACCTCGCAAAAAGGTCAGGCTGACAACATTTATTTCCTTAGTAAAACTTCAGACTATTTTATATATCATAAACTTCTGAATAAATGCTTTTAGGGTAAATTTAATGCCGACAGTCGAGAACAACTCTTAACGGGCTAAAATTGAAAATTAAGGTTAATTGTATCAGTAACTACGATTAAACATTGTGTAATCAAATATGTCTTGTATAATTTAAAATGTTATGTACAGCCAAAAAAACAAAAAAAACAAAAAAAAAACAAGCAAACAAAAACAAACAACAAAAAAAAACGCCGTGCACTGTCCTGTTAGTATCACACGCGATCAAAATTAAAGAAAATAAACATTATCATTTGAATATTTACGGCATCTTTATCGCCAAAAATATCAACGGCATCTTCACCTCTTGACATCTGTTAACCCTTAAACAACTTTTGACATCACGACCTTTGAAACTTAGACTCATCAGATATTTAAGCCGACATTTACCAGAGCGATTGAACTTGGTCTCAAAATAATAATATGGTGCGGTGATTTTGTAACCCCAATTATTGCCAGCATATTAAATAATAGCATTGGGTAAGGAATATTTCCCGATAAATTAAAAGATGCGCAAATGATTCCGATTTTCAAATCTTTGAACATGTATCTTATTTACATTAAAAATAAGTTACTAACATAAACAATATATATATATAAAGTGCACCAGCTATATTTCGAAATATAACGTGGCATAAAATAATACTACTAAAATACTGAATCAAAGAAATAAAACATATTCGAAGACCATGCAAACTTACGATAAAATTATATCGACAACATTTATTTCTTGAGCAGTATATCAGATTTTTTGTAAACTTTTGACTATGAATGATCTTAAGTTGGGAAAGTCCTCGATCAACACATTGGATTCATGAATTACATCATAACTCCTCAGAACTTAAGTCAGAGTTTCACAGCCAAAACTTTTATAGAGGATTAAATAAAAATTTAATTGTTTGAAAATATGCATTTAGAATCTGAAATGTTTGGTTAATATAATGTCAAGAAAAAAACAACAACAGCAGTGCATTGGGTTATTTAAAGAATACAATAATAATATCTGATGTGCATAAACATTTCGTGTGAAAAAAAATTCTGGAAACAAAGTGATCCCTCGGAAGCATTAATCACAACAAAGTGACATAAGAATAGCAGACTCGGTATGATCGAGTTAATGAATAAGTGCAACATTGTCTCACGCCCCTAGCACCGGATTGAGCGGTACTCAATTCTCAATACTTAATAGTGCTGGCATCAATGATCCCGAAGGACCAGAAAATATAACAACACTGAAGTGAAGTACGGGGCAACTTTTTACTGCTGCCACACAGCACTTGACACCTGCTGTTGTGAAGTTCAAAATTCTGGAAACAAAGTGATCCCTTGGAAGCATTAATCACAACAAAATTACATAAGAATTGCAGACTCGGTTTGATTGAGTCTGTAAGAAAGAAAGACTAATGACTAAAAAAAATCTTCAATTAGGCTTGTAAACGGATAAGAAGCATCGTCATGAGAGTTCTTATTGGCAATGAAACTAAATAGATAAATGTCATCAATTTTAAATTTTGAAATTTATTGCGATTCAATATTATGATTTCATTCAATTTCGAGTTCAACATACCCATCTTAAACAATCTAGTACATACTGAATGTGACATCAAAGACGTATAGCAGCAATTTATTAAAGTATTGATTCAGAGATGTGTCATTGTTAGTATTGATCCAGCCTTGCGACATTAGAGATGTGTCGTAGTTAGTATTGATCCAGCCTTGCGAAATTAGAGATGTGTCGTAGTTAGTATTGATTCAGTCTTTCAACTTTAGAGATGTGTTGCTGTCAGTATTGATTCAGACTTCTCACTGACTTCACTGACAATTCCATCAGGGTCACAATAATCTCTTGTTTCTTTATTCTTTGCGTTTGATTGCTTTTTAGTATTCGTTAACTTGTCTGTAAGATCGGCTCCCATTGTCTCTGGTATTGGCCAGAGAAGGAATATAGACACAACAGCTGATACTCCACATATCCAATACATCATCCCTGGAACCCTTGTATCCTAAAACAAACCAACATTTATGTAAATTCCTAAACATAATTACAATAATGAATAACTTGGAGATACATGGAAGAACTGTTTAATGTCTGAATATCAAGTTTATTAATGAACAAAATGTATGTATTTTCTAAATTCAATATTCCACTTTTTTCATGTAAAATCTTGACGGACGGTAACTGGCAGTTTGAAAAAGCTCAATCAAACCGAACCTGCAATATTTTCAATTTTGTCATTTTGGGCGTTCTTTCGGGATTCCGTTTTTTTCTGTTTTACCAACCCAAATCAAATCAAAATATGTTAACATGAACACAGCTGTGTTTTGTTGTTACGCTTATAAATACTTATTGCTTATTGGATAATTTCTGATATAATTTTCATATAATGTTGATATAATTATAAAGAGTCTTATATACAAAACAATTTAACTTGAACTTGATTATTATATACATTTTGTAAATATGTCATAATCGTGTATCATAATTATGTTTATCTTTTCTTTATGTTTTATGTTGTGTGTGTTCGCTGAAAAGCGGAAATAATGAGTATATATACATAATTTTACATTTATACGATTGGAGTAATCTGAATATAACACTTTTCATATATTTATTTTTACCAGGAAGACTAGCTGAGGTCCAATTACAGCACCAACACGCGCCATGGTATTTTGAAATCCATAACCAATGTTCCTGCAGATTATGTACAATTTGAAAAATAATATTATTACTTTTCAGTTCACTCAATGATTTATTTCAACTAAAATATTGTATATAGAAGCTTTTTTCCGCTATTTGGTTATTATCTTCATTATGCATTTCTAATAGTTCGTTTCCATTGAGAACGTTTGGCTTAATAAAAAGATACATCTGTCTATTCCTCGAGACAGTGTACTGCACTCAGGCACAGAGATGTTATATACAGTTTGAATATATGATTAATATCATCTTCTAAATAACGCTACGCTTTAAGGTAAACAAAAGGAGTCCCGGCAATTATTATTATTTGACACTATATCTAACATATCACGTTTTACTCACGCAAACACTTAGTTTAGGACATTGACTGAAATGCAAATAAATAAGATCTGCCCACGAAAAGAGTATGTTCAAATTTGAGTTACATGAAACGCTCTCCTGAACTTATGTCATATTGAATAAAAACATTTTGCCACAAGCTTCGTTTTAATTCTGAACCTGCTAGCCACCACTCTACCTCTGACCAGTGTACACCAAGATTAGCCGGCACCTCCATGCAGACTGACCATGCTCCGCACTCATTCGTCATTTATGTAGTCAGATCTATTTTGAAATTATTGTCCCTAAAATCTATTAATGCTATTGTCCAGATTAAACGACAGACTAGTCCATTAAAGATAATAAGTGTGATAATGGTTAAGTTAGACATAAAAGAAAACCTGACAACTGTAGGGTATATCTCAATAGTTAATGTTTGTATAGGAGACCAGCTTGCAGAAATAGCTGTCAAAGAAATCAGTGCTGCAGCATTCGAGACTTTGTTTCGGATGTTTGTCTCTGAAAACAAAATACATTACGTATATTTCAATACAACTTGTGTAAAATAAAGTTTTGTAATAAATGGTATATTTTGTATAGAACCAACGTTAAATGTTATTTTTGTGAACAAAATTTCCGCCATTGCTTCATTTCTCTAGCCATTTACCCTTTGTCGAAACTTCCGCTTTCCGGAACCTTTTCTTAGATCTACGGACCCATTCCTAATTTCAGTATTTTAATTTGAGACAATTACTGTAACCCAACGAATATTCGCGACCAATTAATATTCGCTTTATTCGCGGATGGCCACAAAGCGCGAATATTTGTTTGCGCGAATAAGTCTGCACGATTTCGCGAATAAATTGGAGAGAAATTTTTATTTTAGACGTTGTTCATGCATGTTTGAATAAATCGTTTGACAAAAGTGGGAAAACTATCGAGCATCACAAAAGGCTATTGTATTTTGGATCCTATAAAATAATTGTTTGAGACAAAGGTGGTATAAACCTATCGAGCATCACAAAAGGGTATTGGGTGTACATAATTACAAACAGTGAACTACAAAAACTACAAGATAGTTTCATACTAGTATAGTTTCATACTAGTATCTATTTTTACCCGTCAAACTTATAGAGAAAATGTTTTGCTGAATTGTGATCACAATTCACTTACCAATACAATATAAGTTAATCCCATTTAAGAAACCAATAATGACCTCAATTATTGAAGATAAATAGTCGGCTTATGGATTTTACGGCCCCATCGGACTTTCGAATCCGCGAATATTTTTTTTCGGAAATCAAGAAATCGCGGAAATTAATATTCGCGAACATGTCCGACCTCGGCAAAACGCGAAAA